TTATTATATGAAAAATATATTAAAATGAAAAGTCGAAAGGATATAATTAATTCGTATACATATTTTAAGGATTGACATTCGATAAAATTTACTAATCGTCGATAAAACCCCGACTCTTGCGACACACAGTCAATATGATAGACAATCTAATGCAGTAGCGAAGGTAAATGACTTTGCCAATTAAAAATAATTAATTAATTGCAGATGTAAAATTAATTATCAATTACGTGACATCTTGTAAGTTTAATGCTTGTTAGATGTGCGAAATAACTATTTATTATCATGTTTATCACATACTTTTGTTTTATATAAATGTTTTATAAATGTATTTACAATTGTTTTAAATTTTCAATTACGTAAAATTAATCATTATATTGTATTCATAATTGCGCGTAATTTTCTAATAAAGTGCTACTGTAAAAAAATATCTATGAGTGATAAAAGTTTTGCGGCACTCCGAGCAATTCGTTTGCAAAGAGTCCACGAGTTCAATTTCGATGAAGCAGTCTGAGCTAGGAGTAGGCTACTTAAGCAGGTAATTGAGGGAGCGAACGCGAAAGAATCGATGAAACACGATTTATTCGAGAAAATGAGTGGCTTGTTTGCATCGATCCTCCAGGAGAACGTTTAAACTTTTCTTATGTTCATCGAGTTTTTAGATATTAAATACAAAAACATACCTCTATACTGCACTGACACCCATTTTCCCACGAGTAAATATTTGTTGAGTTTTTATTCATAAAATTTTCTATGTAACAATATAAATATATAAAAAAAAACATATATAATTTTTTTTACATACCTTTTATTACATAAAACATTCTAATGGTACACACACACACACATGCGCGCGCGCGTGTGTGTAAAAAAAATATATAAGTATATAACAAAACACTACGTATCATATATCGTACATCATATATATATGATATATGATGTATGATATATATTATATATATATATTATATCGAAAGAGTTTTATTTATTTCATATGCGCATATCGAATGTTTCGCGAGAGCGTATGCTTTACATATTGAATATGCATTACATTAATAATAGATAAAATTAAGAGAACAAAAGAGAGATGTTAATAGTTAATATTATGTATGGCGATAATTATAATAATAATAATGTCATTTATACCATTTAGAACGGTCTAACAGACGATAGATGTTACAGCAGGATGCATCATATCCTCTTACACATTCAATCTAAAATCTTATCCAAATTCTAGAAAATATAAAGAGAAAATGATTGAGAAATTAGACTGTTATGTTTGAAAAAATATTTGACTATCGATCGTATCGATGAATCCTGCTAGTAGATTTTTGTTTCTTTTAACATTAGAACAACTAGCATTATTGTGGTATGTGTAGACATTCTATACACATACAGAACTTTAAAATTAGAATGGTTAATGGAAAGCATCTTAATGATTTCTGTAATTAAAACAAAAAATTTTTAACAAGAAAAACTATTTTATAATCGATAACTTTTGGCTATTTTTAGCAAAAAAATTTTTAGTCCGTTATTTTGATGGTATTGGTTGTTCTAAGTGTTAAAGAATACATTGGTATTCTACACAAATTTGGTCATCCGTACATGTATATGTTTTATATATATACACGGATCGAATTACACGCAATTCAAATGGGTCAGTTTCTTTAGGAGAAGTTATTATACACGTCCGTATTGCGTAATTCACCTTATATATACACATACATATATACGAGACGAAACCACTTTTACTTTGTAAAAAAAAGCGAAACAAAGTGGTGAAGACAAAAACGTGGGAATGAGTGAGTGAGTGAGTGAGTGAGTAAGTGAGTGAGCGAATGAGAGAGAGAGAGAGAGAGAGAGAGAGAGAGAGAGAAACGTATACTTACTGTGCGTTAAGTGTTGTTAAGTATAAACGTAAAAATATAATAGATGTTATACCGTTATATGTAATTATTATGTAAAGAAAAAATGATCTGTATAAAATAAATTAATGTAGTTATAATAAATAACTAACATCTCTACGAAGATTATTACGGTCTATAATTATATATCGGTATTTCAAGACACAATCACATATATCCCGAGTTTATTACAATTTCTTTCTGATCCGACATTCAAAAAGGCAAATGGACGAAAGAGATATTATCTCGTGGCAAGTTTCGTCAATTATTATATAAACAGTAAATAGACTTGTTAAGAATAAGGTTCTTAATAAAGAAATCTTATCGAGTTTTGAAATTGTCGCTCTGAGAACTGATTCAAGGGATTCAGGTTTTTTTGTTATGTTTTTTCTCTTTTCTTGGTTCTTCTCATCTCGAGGCGCACTTCCTCCCTTTTAACGGATAACTCTCGGCGATGTTCGCTAGGATGGAAAAGAAAAAGGATGACGTTGACCTGCCACCTCGGCACGTTTGATTCTCAATCCTTTCCCGCCCCTTACACCGATCCGGTCCGATCTGATCCGATATTACGTTCCTATCTTTGAAGGATGCACTGCACCTGTAGCGCACAACTTTAATTTGCTCTGCTTTGAATCGCAGATCGACCGATTGCATTCTCGCATTTGAGCGGCTGTCTAGGGAAACCCGACGGATATGAGAGTCGCATGTTTGCATCCAGCACGTATTGGATTCAGTCGTTCAACATGCTGCGATTACTTGGCCACAAGCGGGAATATTTATTGGCGGGACCAGAATGAATATAACGATGTTGCATTCGTGCTCTCTCCTTTTCTTTGACTCATTATGCGTGCGTACGTGTGCAATGTAATAAATGAAAGAAAAGGCAGAAGTTTTAAAATAATTGTGTATTTTAAAAAGAAATTGCGAGTTTAATGCAGACTTTTTTATAAAGTTTGCAGACTTTTCTGATTGAGACAATTTAATTATTATTAATTTAATGTTAATAATATTAAAAATTAAATTAAATTATCAATTATCAATATCTTTTTAATTAATAAACCTAAAATCAAAGTTTTATTAGTTAAACAATTATGAGACATCTTATATAAAATATATTACACGCAAGGACACGCGTGCAAAATTTTTCTACTAATTACGGATAAAAAGGAAATGCCTTTACAGGAATAATACAGGGCAACGTACAGGGCAACTGAGACACCTTATATATCTTACTGGAGGAAACTACGGTCTTTGGTGCCTGGCTGTCTGGTCCCATACGACAAATCACAACCTGATTAATTGACTGAACCGGTCGGCTCGCTGGTTAAACGTTGTTCATTAGGCGAAAAACGTGATTCCAGGTGACCTCCGAGCAAGTTATCACAGAACGAGAGAGACTTTTTTTATGAGACTCTAAATATGCTAAGTAGCTGTAAAACTTAGGAAACGCTCAGCAAGGAGAAAAAAAAGTTTTATCCGCGCATTAAAGAGACACCAGGCGTTCATTCACTACATCTTCTTTTTGATTCCGAAGATAGATAAACAACGACGCCAGCGGCGAATAATTATTCAAATTTTGCGAATCATATAGAACTGGCTCGCATATCGTATAAACCTCAAACGTGTCCTCATCGAAATTTAGGCTAAATATGAAAGCACGTTTCTGCGAAACATTTTCTTATCTTTATCTTATTAGATGTGACTGAAAAAGTCATCGCAATTACACACACACGCACACACACACACGTGCGCGCACGGGGAAAGAGAGTCATGAAATGTTTCAATCCATATACTTTTATAATCAATTCTTTATAAATTTCAAAAAATAAGAGTTATGCAATGTTCCAATTCATATGCTTTAATAATTCTTTCTAAATTCTAAAAAATAAAATTCTGTTAAATTACAATTAATTTTGAAATCAGTTATTTGATTGACATTTCTGCATTGCGGGTGTCGCATGTACATACAGAAAAGATTTTCTTATTATATGATGCGATACCTTTGCGGTATGTCGCATGTGTCGTCTTTTATTAAAAAAAAAATAAGAAAACAGACGCTAATTCGCGACAGACGGCCAATTGCACATGTGAGAGTGTGAAATTCTATCAGAAGCGGCTAATTCATGATTGCGAAAATAAAATAACATCGTCCGAGTCTTTTTGCGATTTTACTCGGCGAACGTCTTGAGTTCAGATAGATATACAAAATGACCGGATATGGCGATTCCTAGAAATCGCACGGAAAAATAAGAGCTAAACTTGAAGCTCACAACAGCTGTTATTAGTGCGAGCCTAAACCTGTTCAGATGTCGCCAAAGAAAAGAGTGACTGGAAATAAATTGCCGAAATGAAAATATTGGAGCTATAATGTCGCCGAGGACAGAGAGAGAGAGAGAGAGAGAGAGAGAGAGCACACTGTACAAAAAAGATATAATACAGATTTGATAGCAATAATCATGTATTTAATTATTTTTGTCAATTATTTAGGATATTTAGGCAGTCAAAAAATACATATATTTTTAATATTTAGTCAAGCCGCCTTTGACGCCTTTATTTTAAAGTTTTGATTCATCTTAGCATACTATTAATGTTTGTATGTCTCTTGCATCTGTGAATGATGATTCCAGACATAAATAATTTTATCAAACAGCTGTGTTTTTGTGGTAACCACTTTCTTTGCTTCTTCTCTTTTTACCCGTTCCCTGCACACATTTTCAAATACATTATAAACAAATGACTATCTTCTAAAAAAGAATAGTTTCTTGACACAATTCGATGAATTATAACAATAATAATCAATAGACGGTATCGTAATATAAATATAATATGGCCAGGAACTGTAAATGCCTCTTTTAGAGATGAAAAGATTAATAATAGAATCTCATTACTCGGCACGTGCTCTCTAGATCATAAATTTGACTAATTTTAAATTATTTGTAATGCCCTTCCTCCCTCTCTACAAGAAATTTTTCAGTTTTGATCAGGTTGCTTTAAACATATCTCTCTTTAATTTAGACAAGTTAGCTGGTTAGACGATCAATAGACGACTACAGGTTAAGTTTGAGAGAAATTTCTATTAACTTTTTTGGAACTTTGCAGGGATTTCGATCCATTGTTGCAAAAGCGCACGACAAAAAGTCACGAAAGGAGTAAGTCGACGAAAAACGAATTGAATCTGACGTTCAAAAATCGATAATCAAAGTTGTACAATAATTCATGCTAATACATTAATGGAGAGTCATTTTGTGAGTTTTACTTTGTTGCATATTATTAAGAATTTATTTAGCTTAATTAGAGAGCTTACCTTTCCTCATCGAGAACTTGTTATAATCATTGTTATAATCCATTCATCATTAGAATACGTTTTTATTTCACATTGCAGTGTTATCTTTTTGTTCTTGGGATATACAAATTTATTAAGATAAAACTTTTGTCATATTTAATATTTTGATTATCAAATACAATATACTCTATAAAGAAGAGTGTCTCGCATATCGCATATTGAAAAATGTACCACGCCAAAATATTGCCAGGATATTATCGGAATATGTTATACGTTACACGCTTTTGTTTCAAGTTTGTATTAATTTTAACGAAAATTCAAATTTCCCATTTATTTGGAAAGCCCAATCGAGAACAGCCAACGACAGTATTTGGCGCAAAAAAAAACGCGCTCTGCTTTGTGGATTTTAAATGAAACGATTGCAATTAAATCTATCGACTGTAGTGGGCAGTTTTTCGAATCACCGAGTCCGCATTCAACCTTGAACCTTGAGCGTATATGTATACTAAATCAAAGTTACCCTGTTCCCACGTATTGAGCAGCACTCCCCACTGCAACGGTTCATTAACAATTACATGGACATACTATGGCACAGGTGGCACGATATATAAAGTCACGAGGAATCAGCGTGGCTGGCTATTAGTTTGGATCGTTCCACCGACCGGTTTGCGGACGGTTCCGACTTCCTATACGTCGATATCTCCGGACGGTCGTAAATTGGCCGATTTAATCGACCGATTGGTCCAACACGTGCCGAAGTGAACGACTTGGAGTCGTGCTTGTTTCACTTGAATCCTTGCGCCAGCTTGCTCCACTTCTTGATTGTCGTCGAGATTTAAAGGAGACCAAATCTTGATTGCCAAGATCACTACGAGTTTGCGTCCTAATCAAGTCTTTCTGTGTTCGCCTCCAGAATTTGTTTCGTATTTTGAAGCTGGTGAAATCCTTTGTCTGTCACTATGACGCTCACCGAGAGAAACGCCAGCCTTTTCCTATTGATTGTCACATGTCTGCTGGTGAATCATTGCCAAACGTCGTGCATCGGAAAGACTATGCTGAGTGAGTATATGATGTTGCTGAGAAAAAGTAGATTTTATTAATTTTTTGGTGACCATGCTTTGGGGGAATATACTGATCATGATAGATATGAAGTCTGTTGTCATTCAAGAGAGACTTTAAAATAAATTTGTAATCTTTGAAATAATATATTGATTTATCGATTTATTCAGCAATTTTATTACAATGTTTATTATTAAGAGCAGCTAAATTTTTAATAATTTCTATAAAACTAAAACGTTAGCAGAAAATTATCATTTCTTAATGTCATAACAGATTTAGTTTGCAAAGAATTTTTGTATACACATTTAGCATACATATATAATAGTTTATAATTATTATTCACTTTTTCCTTCCACAGTTGAAAATTTTTATGCATTTTTTTCATTATATTTATTGATTTGTTGCGTAAAGTATGTCATGTATTTGATACATATGTGCGTATGTATTTTAAAATTATAAATTTAATATGTTATTATAAATATAAGAACGACGATCGAATTGAATAATTCAGTATACATATAAAACTCGCGCGAGCAGTATTTATGAAGCACGAATATAAACACGTCTCAAGCGATGATACATCATCGCTTTAATAAAAGAAAGTAAAAAATTCGCTTTTCCTCCCGTAAATCTAAAATCTAAATCTAAGCGCGAGCTAAAGGAAGAGAAAGAGAGAAAGGAAGGGATGGATACAGTATATTTTATCTTAATATTAAAAAAATTAAGTGTTATTGTAAAGTTAATAATCCAATATCGGACTTGGTATATTTATTATCGAAAGAAGAAAATGGTTGCACAAAGGCGACCAAGCAGAGAAATTGTAGTCTAAGCAGAATTAGTCGATCAAGAGCTATTTATTTAGTATAACACAAGTTCTTTCCCACGAAATTCATTTAACTACGAGCTCCACGATAGAATGGAGTTATAGCAGCTGTCGGCTAAATTGCATCGTTATACGCTCGGTACCAAGCCCATCTCATTTCCGGCACAAAAAGAAACTGATGTTCCCAGTCATAGCGAGTCGGCCATCAACCAAATACGGATGTCATTCGAATCGATGTCGTTTGTTTCGCCTTTTCAATGAATGCTAAACGAGCGAATGATACACGGCGCGTCGTGTCGCGTCGTCTCCAATGATGATTAATTGCCGTGCACCGAAAAGGGAACTCGATTGTCGCCAACAGTGTTGTTTCATGTCCTTTAATAATCTCTTTTCTGCTCATTATATAACTGTCAAGAACATGATACTAATGTCTTAAGAGTAAATATATAAATCAGAATTCATCATTAAAACGAATTCATCATTAGAACGAATATAACCGCGAAAGAGATGCTCCGCGATAAAAATTTACGACAATCTCTCAATATAGATATATGCTACAATAGTTGTATGCTATTTTAATATTTTTACATTTTTTACATATCGCTTTTTATATTAATCTTTAACAAATTTTTAATGAGAGAAAGAGAGAGAGAGAGAGAAAGAGAGAGAGAGAGAGAGATGAGACAACGGAGAGAAACATAAAAAGAAATTCATGAAATGTTGTTTATCATACGTTATTTTTTTCTTTTTAATTAATATAATTATCATATATCTTTAATGCAATTACATTTAGAGCATCTTTTTTTTAATTAATGCAATTCATATTTTTAAACGTCTTTTTGTCAATCCATCTGTAATAACGTTCAGAAATAATTAATTTTGATTCGCGATTCGCGCTTATCGGAATAAATTAAAACAGTAATATTAAGCTAAAAAGAAACCAAGTCAAAATATATATTATAGAATTATAGATGAATTTGTGATTATTCGTCAGTAGCGCTAGCCCGGTGAATTTTTAAACAGATACGCGCGTGATGTGATCAACGGACAGAAAACCTGATCCATTCGATCAAGATAGAAATCAATTTGAAGAATAAATTAGTATAGGCATTTTTTCGTGTGCAAAAATTATTTGACATTTGTATTCGGCAGGATATTTTTGTTTAAAAAATAGAACTCGACGACTGCCGTAAATTCAAATCGCCGATCATTATCAAAAGTGCCTCGAGTACGACACTTACATATATATATTTACGAGAAATCTCCATGTTTTAATGATGATAACCTGGTTTGGGAATAGTTTAGGATCTATCGTGCGTTACATAACTGTAAAGTGTAGAGGTTCTCAATTTAATAATTTACCGAGAAAATTAATGCATGAAAACTGAGAAATAATACTACACTTGTATATTATTTCATTGCTTCCTGAAAAGATGTATTAATTGGCAAATTAATGGGCAAAATTTCTTAGTCAGAAAGAATTTCTTAAAAGTATGCTCGAGTGTAATGTGAATCTCTTGACTCTTGGATACACTGCGATATACCTACAACGAGCGAACTCAATGAGGAGTAAAGCCGACAGCGTCCATTTACCTCATTAAGCTGTCTTTGGATCCAGAAAGAATCATGAAGACCGCTCAGAGATACTCTACAGCTGAGGAATGACGTTTTTCCTAAAATTAAAGCGAAAAGAACAATATAAAACCAACTGTGAAAAGCAAACGTAGGTTAATCAATATTAATCGAACTTTCCGCAACAGACAAGATGAACTATTGCTATGCCGTTCTCTTACAAAAGTCACTAAGTTACCAAGAATCACACGATTTTCAATAGATTTAATGCTATATTCATCTGTGGCACTTGTAATAGCGCCCACACTGTACCGTGGGTGATGCGCTCGGTCCTAAAACGGACCATATCTCGAAAACTAAAAGTCTGCCCATCTTCAGCCTGAAATCATTTTAAAGGGGAAGAATCCTACATTTTTTGAGATTTTTTAGAAGAAAATTGAAGGTGCCCAAATTTGAGAAAAAACGATTTTTTATCTTTACCTTCAAAAATCTTAAGTAAATTTTGACTTAAGAAAAAAATTGATTTTATAGCATTAAAGGGCATAAAAAGACCTTTCAAAATCACACCTTGTTTTTCAAAATCGGAGTAGTTTACTGACATTTATCGGCGTTTGAAGTTTGACGCGACGGCTCAAATGATAAAAATCCAAGCCCCTGTAAGTAGACAACCCGTTGGACAGGGGTAAACAAATTTGGGCAATGATTTTAGTTCTGATAGGACTACAATTTGTGCAAATTTCAGCATAATCGGAAAACTTTGAAAATTTGGGGTGGATCACTTCATAAATAATGCCCCACACATGTACACAAAAAATATTACAAACCTATGTATACTTATGTGTTTTGCCCATATGTCAAATCAAACAAATACGTCTAACGTTCAACGTTTTATCATAAAAATAGGAATGACGAAATGCATATAATTTGTGAACGATCGCATGCAAATTCGATGGATACCCGAAGATGCATCTCTTTCAGAAAAAAACTTTTAGAGCCTCACAACTTTTTCCTAATTATAGATCGTTAGGAATTACTAGTCCGAGTCGACGTTGAAAACGACGTAGTAAAGTGAATAAAAGGGACGCCATCAGTTCGCCGTCCCAATAAGAAGTTAAACTTACGAAACGGGAGTTCTCTCGATGCACCAATAGAAAGACAAGGGGAACATCGCTAAACCAACTTCCATAGAAAGTTTTTTGGATAGTTGCACAATCTGCAGCTTGCTGTGAAGAACAGAACAGTGAGAAAAGATTACGGCATCTCAAGGAAAAATCCAAGAGGAGCAAATAGTTGTGGTACGACGAAAAACTGTTTAAGATAAAAGTGAAATTAAATCACTTGTGGTCTATCTTCTTCATTCAATCTTTTTAATTAGAAATAGTGCAGTGCGCGGCTATCTAATCTAAAAAATTCTGCTATTAAGTATTAAATATAAATACGTGTAATCGTGAGGTGTATAAATGCATCGCCAATTCATATATTTCTTAATGTTTAATTAAATTATTTATTATCATATAATTGTGAAAAAGTTAATTATTTAATAGATAACCATAAAATAATTATTGCATATGTGACATTTGTGTTTTTACTATTACAAAATAATGCGGAGCATTTCTTTATTATTATTAATTAATCTAATTAATTTTTTAGATTTTTAGTTTGGTCTAGTTTAATAATAATTGACAATATTTTATACAGTAGGTACAGTAAACATTTTAAAAAATACATCATATACGTACGTCAATTGAAAAAACTAGGGTTGTACTTACAGTTTTTTATCAATCTGAAGTTCATATTTCCTTTTGTGAAAATAGGAAATAATGAAGGAGTTTAAAAACTGCGTATATGAATCAACAAAAGTAATAGAGTTAAATAAAAAATAAAGTAAATTTAAATTTAATAAATTTAATTAAAAATAAATTAAATATATAGATAAAATAGATTGCTTTTAATATTCTCGGATATTTTATTAATTAATTAAAATACATGTTATTATTGCAATCTATTAATTATTGGACATTGTTATGATTATTATTATTTTTTACAGTAGCGTTCTTTAGGATAATATATTAGAAATGATTACTAATATCAGGAGGTTAACGTTATCTACTAAAAATGACAAGACCTCTCCCTCCCTTTTCCTCTCCCTCCCTCGTGTACTTTCAATATAAATTTCCTGGTATCTTACTCCTCTTAATTGTTGTGCTGCTAAAGAAAACAAATACGTATAATTAAATATATTATTCGTATAATAATACATCCCGTATATTTTTTTTTATATACGATCGATATATATACGTTGTTGGAAGAGTGACCATGTTATACGCTTCTTCAATGGTGAGCGATAGTGGCGATACAGAGAGAAATATATTTGTTCGAAAAGTACCAGGTTGAGAATACATGATACCTATCGTCTTACACTTTACAGGGTCCGGTGGTATATCGTGTGAGGAAAAACAGATTATCTTGGACGAACACAATCGATTGAGGCAACTAGTGGCATTGGGACAGATACATGGTCAACCAGGTGCGGCGAATATGATGGAGATGGTAAGTTAATGTGTTTCGTCTCATTTCTTAAAAAGTCGATATTTTCAAAGGCAAAAGATATGTTCTCTGTAACGATTTATGAAGATGGAGTACTATTAATCGAAAGATAACATGCATAACTAAAAATGTAATGTAAAAAAAACGTGCAGTTACTTCTAATGTGACATGTGTAAACTGTAATAGAATATTTATTTATTTATTTATTTATTTATTTATTTATTTATTTATTGTTGTTGTAGATATGGGATGATGAACTTGCCGCGATAGCACAAAGATGGGCGGATCATTGCGCCGAGTCACACGACAGTCTGAGAAATGTTCGTAAGTAAAACTTTATTAGTAACTATATAGCTTGATACCCTAGCTGTGCTTCGCTACGGTATGCGAAGGATTCTATAATTCACCCCCGAATCTAGATTTGCCCCTTTAGGGCAAAATTATGAATTATGTTTTTAAGCATTTGTATATGGGTATAATCCTTTGTAAGTAATGGGTAGAATCCTTTGTAACCACAATCGATATCTCATCGGGCTTAAGAGATATTGAGGAATCCGTGAAAACACATTTTAACTCTTTTCATCCCGTTAAGGGGCAACGTTCTAAAAATCCCTTCTTAGTAGGTGCTTACGTCATAGAAGGAATATACTCCCCGAATTTCATGTTTCTAGCTTTAGGGGTTTGGGCTGGGCGTTGATGAGTCTCTGTCAGTCAGTCAGTCAGTCAGGACATTTGTTTATATACATATATATTGCTTTTTCATATTCGCATAATAATTATGCTCTTAATGCGCCTCTAGAATAACATAATATTATAATATTTTTAGAATGCCAAAGAAGAATAGCGCTGTAGAAATTTCCTCTTTTGTCTCCTTTGCATCTTTGTCATTGTTGCGATAATTAAATTTTCATAGTGACATTTGCCGACAAAGTGGTAAAGCCACAATTAGAAATAATAAGAATATTGCAATTCATTTTTTTATGTTATATACTAGGCAAACGTAATTTTATTATTTAATTAATAAAATAAAATAAAATATTAAACGTTTATAAATATATGTGTACATGCAAGAAGAAGGATTGCAAAAATGTATTAGCAAGAATATGTTAAAATGCGCTAAAAAGTACTTATTAAATTAAAATTATTACAATTATAATTATAGATATTAATTAAATTGAGAAATAAAGTTTAAATACTAATAGACTATACTCATGTTAAAAATATAAATTTATACTTATTATCAAAAATATTACCTAAAATTGACGATTATTATTACTTTTATGCCGAAATTTTAATAATAATTAATTAATATTAAATTATTATTATGTTAGAGTTACCTTTTTTTTTGCTTTAATATATCTTTTATTATTATAATAGTAGTCGAATTACCTATAGCTATATAATAATTATACGATAATATTTTCAACATGGCAACTTTATTTTTTATTGTTGCGCGATTTGTTTTAATAAGAAAAGCGCTTTTTTATGCTGACGTACGGATTGATATTAATTAATGGTACAGAAATATTATTTATAAAATTTTATTACAGATATTACAGATGTCAAAAGTCAAATTACTTTGCAATAGATGTATCAACATAAACCATAACAATGTAAATACCTATGTAAAGCGTGAGTTGAAAAATATTTCTCTATTATAATAAATAATCGCACAACGCTATACACACTTCACTGTGTAATGAAGTAAAAATATAATATTAAATATATTTCAAGTTTTCTAAAAATAAGTGTTATCTTTTGTAAAATAAGTCTATAGAAAATAAATAACTTTTTAATTCTTGAGCAAGAATAACAATAATCTTTTTAAATTAAATCAGAAACTTTTGCCAGTAAATAATTTAATAACAAAGCTTTTTTATTCGACCCAACACTGGCCATCTTCATTAATTAGAATCATTACGTAATGTTTTGATTTTGTGGTTTTGGTAAATTATAATCATTACGACGACGCGGCGACCACGGTTTTGGTTCTTCTAAATCTATGTAACACACAAAATTACATTCGATTTAGAAGAATTAAAACCCATTGAAGCGTGACGATTATAATTAATAAAGATAGCCAGTTAGGTCGAATAAAAAATCTTTATCAATAATCTTTTTCTTGAACAAGTAAAAAAGTATATACAAACTTGTTGTACAGACGCGAGTGACAAAAAAGAAAATAATAATGTCAACAAGAAAATCGAGTCGAGATGTTTATCTGATACCAAATAAATAATATTTATTTCCATTTTTACAGCTCAAACGCATGTTTTAATTTTTAACTGTTGACTCGCTATAGTTGACGTGCAGGCTTCGTTGACTTGACTCGATTAATTCCCATTGTCGACTGTGGAATAAATCATGGGCCCCTTCGGACTTCTAAGCAAGTTTTTAAAAATGCGTTTCAATTCCGTTTTTACTCAGTTAACAATATCAAGATTATACTCGTTTACTCATCTTCCGACTAAAGACCGTTTGTACATTGATTGCGACTTTATAACATTGTTACCGTAATTATTTGGATGTAGAAATGTACGATTCGTGACTATTTTGTTTATTTAATGTAATTAAGTTTGGCTGAGGAAGGCACGGTGTTGCCGAAACATCCCCATTTTAATATTGTTAATAATACATAATTTTAATTTTCAACATCCTTGCTGCTCGTCATTGGCCGTTAACCTTGTCTCTTTATAATTCTTTTAAATTTGGTTGATTAGGGCCAACTTTATACGCAATCAAAGGTTCATATACGAATTTACGAAAACAAAGCTTCCTCTATGAGGAAGCAACATTTTGCAAGAATTGTGTTTGGAAGCTCTATACTAAATATGTTTCGTCATTATTCCTCATGTAATGCGCTTTTCTTCTGTTGTTTGCATTTCGCATATGTTATCACGTTGATTGATCAAAACGATCGTGATTTGTAGGTAGATTTGCAGTAGGACAGAACATTGCTCGCTCATGGACGACCAGGCCTCCAGGACCTTACGACGGTGAGCCGAATTGGAGACGACAAATTTCTGGCTGGTTCAACGAGGTACAATACTATCATTCCGGTTATAGCAAAATCACCGGACACTACACACAGGTCTGTAATAGGAACTATGTTTGTAAGTTCCGAAAGATACAAGAGTTATATAACTGTTAGCTCAGAGCTTTCCGTTGCGTATACATTTAACCTAATGATCCGAGTCGTGTTTTAAACAATATGTAAAGAAAATCTATACGGAAAGAAAGAAAAACTTTGTTAATTTATTATATACATCACAAAATCGCATTTCTTACTGCATATGCGATACGAAAGCAACACGAGACTATGTATCGAAATATGTATCATAATAATTAATTCATTATTCGATTTGTTCGTCGAGGCGAGACAAATTTGTAGGGCAAGTAGAAAAATCTACTTTTGACAAACGTATTTTTGCATTAAAAGACAGTCGCTGTTTTCATGATGAAATAAGAATCAATTTTTTTTATTACAGTTTGCATATTCAGAACAAAATTGCTCAAATAAAAATGTTTTGGTTTCAAACTTTTCTGCTGCCCATATATAATGATAAAGTCTGTTAAACATTTTTTTGCATCAATGGAAAAAAAATATTGTACGAGCGAACAACTCTTTCTCTCTCTTTTCTTCGTTAAATGCTAAAATATAATTTTAGAGATTTGTTCGGTTTCATTTGTAGGTCAGTTTCGAAATAAGTCCGAAAAATTCGCGATTTATAGCCTCGATCGGCAACCTCCGCCGAATTAATTCTTATTTTACAAACTTGTTGTTTTATGAGTTTTCATGAAATCACGATCTACGAAAGGACTGTTTAAGCGCTACGAGTTTGTTCTTCGCGCAAAAAAAGCTGCTTTTCTTTGCTCTTTATTAATATTTATCATACTATTGAAAAGGCGCATAATATAGAAGATGCTCAAGTCGAACTTTAATTAATTTATACTTGAAGAAAAATAATATTTACATTTAATCACATATTTGCATTCTAGATTCTGTCTACGTAAAAATTGTCAATTAAAAAAATTTTTTTGACTCCTTATATCTTAAAATCTCTATTAAGACTTTAATATTTTTGTTAAGGAAAAATTCGAAATTAAGAGAAAAGTGGAGGAAAATATTATCAATATGTGATGGAAGAAAAATGGCGTTTTCGGTATTTTTGATACTTGGAAGATCTTATATAAAGTCTGTAAAGTATTCAAAGTACAATCGTTTACACTCACTTGCTTCATGCTTACACGCAAGCAATTTGTGGATCTTGAAATATTATTGCAGAAAATATTTTGGATTAATTCCAGTTGGTATGGGGCGACACTTTTTTGTTAGGATGCGGATATTCTTTCTACTATGATCCGGCTCGCGGTTACACCAAAAATTACGTATGCAATTATGGCCCGAGGTAAGAATTCTATACCTTAAAATACCGTTACTTCTTTCTGTATTTTGCGTTTCTTTGGTATTAAAGTGTGGAAATGCAAGTAATTGCGTCGAGTAGTATTACAGAATTAGATTTTAATTCGAGGAGATACGATACTTTTTCAAGGACTCTTTTATAATTCCAGGACAATTTCCTTTATTAATACGAATAACGTTTCTATGTATTGTAATTCCATTTTTCTTAAATAAACGTACTACATGTCATTGATTTTAACACATTCATTAGAAATAAGTTGTAATAAAGAAACCGCGTGCGCGCGCGCGTCAAATGTATAATCCGTCAAAAGTATAATAAAAAAAAAATAGTTTTGACAGAAAAACGGTTAATAATATTTAAAGTTTTTATTTCGATAGCATTATAGAAATTTTAAGTATCATACAATTAATATTTCCAAGTTTTGATTTTGTGCAAGCGTTTCAGATATACATACACGTTTCCACTGATAAACATTTTCGAGTTAACATCTAAGATTTAATTCATAATTCCCATAAACTTCCATTTTTAGATTGAAAGTAATATAATAATCTCTAATTATTTTTATTAATTATATTTAAACTAAATTTTTTAATTAGGCTCTCTCTCTCTCTCTCTCTCTCTTTCTCTCTACAACGTTGTTAGATAATGAATTATATATTGTAGATAATAAATTTTAATGTTTTGAAAAATAATTTTTAAACATATCGATGAATCTAAATACACGGGAGAAATCATGTGATACAAAAATCATCATTTAACATGGCTTTACGTCATTTCAGTGGAAATGTACTCGGCTTTCAACCTTACAAATTAGGCCAACCTGCATGCGGCAATTATGGCATGTCCTACAGCAATAGATACGCTGGATTATGTTGTTAGTATCATAACATGCCTTATAATATAATCAATTCAACATTTTATATATCTTTCTTTAAAGATATATAAAAATTGTAATTTTAATGATAACATTATCATTTTAAAGTTTCTCATTCCGGAGAATATCTCTCATGTTCTATTATATTTTTCCTTTTGTATAATTAGATACAATTTTATCTTTAATTTTCTATAAGTCAGAATCTTTAATTTTTCGATAAAAAAAACATGAAAAATAAATATTTCGCGTATACTCTTTAGTGACAGAGCATGCTCATGTTAATGAATGTTATGTGATTACAGCTCGTGGAAGTTACTATTATTTGGGAGCTCTATGTGTATATGGATAATATGAAGAATATGGATACATACTTATGAAGAACGCAAGTTTTGAGATGTGTTTAACTTCTTCAATTTGTCCATCGTTAATGAATTGTTTTTGGAAACGTAGGACTGTGATATAATAAATACTGATGAATAAGTCTTTTAATGCTAGTAGGATTCGGATAATCGGTTACGTTACGTAGATTGTAATTAATAGATTTCATTAATTAGGAAATAAGCTGATCCGCTATGCATGATATCAATGTGTATGTTGACGCGATAAGTTCTAGTAGATACATATTTGCAAAATAGAGTGTGATATTGGATTACATACATACATATATATATATATATATATATATATATATATATATATATATAT